CTTTCTTCGTCTTCATGTATGAGTGGTTCATTACTCTCGATTTCTTTTAATTTTACTTAAATTTGTTTTTGGGGACACATAATCTTCTGAAATGGAGTGGTTGATTTGTTCTAACATTGCAGGAGACTAGTCATTAACAATTTGTTTTTGGGGACTCTGTTTTACATGATGAAAACAGAGTAAAACAGAGAGGACTTTAGGAAACAACATACGAAGACCGGATGATGAACATGGCGAGATTATCCACGAATGACCGGTTTGAGAATATCAGAGATTGGGATTTCAATTATGGCATCAGATTTCCTCAAAATCGTCCATTTACCTTCCGCAGAAGTTGATCTTCCGGCCAGCTGCGTAAATGTAACATGTGTTCAGAAGTGAAGCCAGATTCACCAAAACTCATACCATAGAGACTCCTTCTGCACTCGAAGAATCTAGTCATCCCCTTCATCTGGGTCGTGTGGAAGTTCCAAGAACAGATGGTGATGATAAGGAAGATTAGGAGGAAGAGTTTTGCTGCCGATAGGAATTGAAATTGTTCTAATTGTTTCAACTCTGTTTTAATTGTTCTTTGTTTGAGAGTTGGTCGATTGGAGTTCTGCTTTGTGCTGATTTTTTATACAAATTAATAAAAATTGTAATTATTGTAATTTTGGATGCTCATGACAGAAAACAATGGTGGTTAATTGTTTTTAATCATGTTATAGGTACAAAAAATTATAAATAAAATTGAATTATCAATAAATTTATAAATAAAATAAAATAAACTAAAATTGAAATATCAATTGTAAAACAAAAAAAAAAGGATTTATATTGATGAAAAAAGCTGTCGGTATATCATTGAAATTATCGGTCTGTAAATATGAGGGTCTATACAGACGGAAAAATTCTTAAGATTTCTCAGGGTCTATACCAACGGATAATTTTTCCATCGGAATAGATCTAAGGGTATATACCATTGGATAAAATCTTCCATCAGAATAGACCCAAGGGTCTATACAAACGGAAATTCAAGAGATTTCTCAGGGTCTATATCAACGGATAAGTCTTCCATCGGAATAGATCTAAGGGTCTATACCATCGGATAAAATCTTCCATCGGAATAGACCTAGGAGTCTATACAAACGGATTTGGCGTTGGTATAGACCCTATACTGACGAGGTTTCCACCGACTGAAAGTTAGTCCGTTGGAATAGTCCCGGGGGTCTATACCAACGGAAAATGGATCTATACAGACGGAAAAGTTCCGTCAGTATAGGTGCATCTCCTTGTAGTGCCACCATAATGATATTTCAAAGTTGGCAAGTAAACTATGGATTAAGACATACTCTGAAACTGATTGTAAATGTGATATTGCT